TTGCCTTGATCATTAATTAATTCTGACTATTTTCTTTAGTATTCTTACGTGTCATTTATTTATTTTTAAATATTTATATGAAAATACTATTTTGGAAAATTATGTATCTCTCTCCCATATTGATACCATCGGTATCATAAATATTTCCTACGAAACGTAAGATCTATTATTTAATATTTCTCTCTGCATAATAAAACCCTAGCACAATTCGACTATTTAAAGAGAATAAAACCCTATAATCCTAATCTCACTAGGAAATACTAGACGGGACATTTAAATTGAAATACATAGCTCATAAAATAACAAACAATGATAACAAAACATGATAAACAATAAACACAAATTATATAAATCAAGGAAAACACAATGAATTAAGAAGGAGACTGGTAGCACACTCGTGGGATAAACATGCTCAAATCGGTGATATTGAAGATTATGATGGTGATGATGATGATAATAATGGTGAATGAGATTTTTTTATGATTTCAAATTAATTTATGTTGTAATATTTTATTTATGCAATAATTTATGAGATTATTGTTTATATAGGATTTTATTATATTTAAAATAATTTGATTCATGTTATCTCATGTTTAGACAGTTTATTTAAAATTGATAACATAATTTTTAAACTATATAGTTAATATAATTTATTACCTAGCATTGGATCTATAATTAATATTTAGAAAATAAAATATTATAAAATTACGATTAACATTAGATTTATATTTTTGGGGCATATATGGTGAAATGCCGTGGGAGACCAAACCAAATCCCATTTCCTATAAGTATTATTATTATTTTAATATTTGGCCTAAATTTTGGTGAAACCCATTGCAGACTTGAAACACAATTTTTCCATGAAAATGATGGAAGAGTTAAATGTTGTTCTACTGGTGGGAGATAAACCCATTTTTTCACCACCATAAATGGAATTTGGTGAAAAAATGGTGAAACCGGTCGAAGATGCTCTTAAAATAAACTATTTATTCTCAATTTTTACTTTCACAATTCCTTTCGCATGTGATCCACGCGCTTGCATCCCGGCCAAAAAACGGGAAAAAAGAAAAAACTAACGTCGATAGTTATTTAACTGTCAAAACCGTGTGTCTGGTCAATTTATAATGGGGAAATATGCAATTCCCCCCTCAAATGGAAAATATTATGAGTAAAACCCAATTGACTTTTAAGACTTTTGCACAAACCCACATCCCAAACTTAATTAGTGAAACCCCCTCAATTAAACATAATAAGACATAAGTACCCTTATTAACAGTTTTTTTTTATAATAAATCAAATATTTAATCACGATATATTTCCATAACCGTTTCCCTTTATTATAGGCGGCTATAGGCGGACGTGATTCTCGTGTGTATTCAGATATGTGTGTATGTAGAACGGAATTTTTATTGCGTAAGAACACATTTCTTTCCCTCCGGTTCTCTCCACCAGGTTCGTGCAATGGCCACGGACTCTGATTCTTCTGCACCATTCAAGAAAGTCCAGATCAGAGAGATAATACGGTAACCATCACTACTTCTCGTTTAGGTTCCATTATCTGGTTGAAATGAGCATTTATTTTCATTTTTGCTTTTTAGGGCCTTTGTTATATTCCCAATTAGGTCTAATTATTGGGGGAAATCTGAGATACTAGTAAAATTTCCATTTTTTTTACAGTTGATTAATTGCTTAATAAAGATGGGACAATTAGTGTATGTTTCTTTTTGGGTCGTCTTAATTGGTGTAAAGGATCGTTACTGATTGAAAAATTTATTCCGTTTTACACAGAGTCACGTTGTGACTACTCTGTAAATCTTTTATTCGTTTTGTGTTAATTGATACGCTAGTGTAATTTTTTTGTAATTTATTTTTTGCGTTACTTGATATGTTAGTGTAAGTGTCAATGTGTTTGTTGTGGTTGAATTGAATTCACATAATATTATGTGATTTGCATTTACAAAGTAGTGCAGATTTATTCATTAGAAGTAGTCACATAGTAGTCACATTCTCATTTTTTTGTGTAGTGCTGCACAGCTTGTCGTCAACCTTGATGATTGTGTTGAAGTATGGGGGCTCGTTTGCGGTGAAGATATGTCAGAGTGATTTTTGTGTATGAAGATCTCGTTGGCTTTGTCACTGATAAGTGGTGCAGTTTGAATGCGAGGGATGTATCGATGACTTACAATGTTGATGGATATGGCGAGGGTATATTCTCACTTACTGACTTACTGAATATGACTCACGTAATAGTCATATTCTCACTGTTCTGTTAATAATTATGACTATTGTTGATTCACTCGATTAGTGATTTATGAATTTCTTGTTTGTTCCCCACTCTCTCTTTCGATTTTTTTTTCCAGATCTGAACAGCAGCAGTAACATGACTATAGGCATATTCGAATATGACTATAGTCATATTTATGTATTTTTCGAATATGAATATGACTATTGTTGAATATAATCTATCTTCTCGTTTTCAAGTTGACTTCTAGTAAGTAGATTCAAATTGATTTTTTTGTGTAGATATTGATTGGATTGTTTTCGTAAACAATAGGGAATATTCGTTGTTTTATATGATTTGGCAAACATGACTATGCCATATAATCGGAATTTTTAATTTAAAAAAAAAAAACAACAATGTAAAGAAAGAATATGACTACAGTTAATATAGTCACATATAGTCATATTCAACTATAGTCATATTCGGGTTGTAAAAATATTAAAAATAAAAATAAATAAATAAATGGCTAAATAAAGTCCGAAAATAATATAAAAATAAAAAATAAAAAAAATAAAATCCGAAAATATATTTTTCTTTTGATTTGATAGCAATTTTTTAGGAATTTGGAAGCACATTTTTTGGAATTAAATTGTTATTATGGAAAGAGAGTAAAAATAAATAATTGAGATAAATTATACTAATTAATCCTAATTAGCGGATTTAGGTGCCTCATTAATAGGAAATTTGTAAATAGTAGATAATTATAATAAAAAACGTGTGGAATTTAGTTTCCTTATTAATAGGAATTTTGTTAGTAATAGATAATTATTAAAAAAAGTAGTATAAGGGTAAAATTGGAAATAAATATTCTAAGGGGTTTTCACAAAGAAAGAATTATGGCATGGACATATCACTATTTTTTTATCTATAGGAGGGGTGTATTGCTAATGACCCCATTTATAATTATATTGCGTCATCCGAAAAAGTGCTATTTTGTTTGTTTATGAGATTACCCATTTGCCTACTGCCCGGGGCTGATAAAGCACAAGTGGGTTATTTATTTTAATATTATTTAATTGTTTTGGGGTTAATTAATTAGAAAGCAATAAATAGAATTAGTGGGACCAGTGTCCTAGAATATAAGTTTAGCGTTATAATAATAATACGAAATTTCTCGCTTGCTGCCTACTAAAACACTGATTGATGCATAGGACACGTGGCGAACGGGCGTCCACTCCTTTTAGTGACTTGTACCTTGAACAAATGAGTCATTATTAAATTTGAAAATGCTAGATCCAGGAGATATTTTGCACAACGAAGATATTTTTATAACATAAATAATTTAAGTTTGGTGAAAATTAGGTGTCCCTACAAAAAATAGTCTCTGGTTAAAACATATTTTGTCCTTTTGCTAAAAATATCTGTCTAAAAATATTTGTGTACTAATCTCGCTCTTGATCTGACCCTAATTGTAGAACGGAATTGATTTTGAATCAACAATAACGGAGACGGTGATTTGCACATTTTAATTATATCACTAAATAACAATTTAGTTAAATTATAAATGACGAGAACAATGACGATGATTACGCACAACTTAGATACTACGTACCCACATACAACTAAGTAGAAAATTAATTAAAATAGTTTAGTTACATTAATGAGGAAAAAAAACATGTATTTTTCCTTTTTCGCTATCATGATTATTATGTCGCAATGGAGGGGAATGAGTGTAACCAAAATCGTATGTATATGAGTGTGTGTGGTCGCGGATGTGTGTATGTAGGTGTGTGCTTGTGTGTGGCAGAGCTTCAACAATGGTAGTTGGGTTGGACGGATCTAACGAAGTGCAGTTAGTTAGACGGGATAAAGGCAAGACCAGAGAATAAATGACTTTTAACAAATTGTAATTTGATTGTCCTGATTTGAAAGAGTATTAGTGCCCAGAGATGTGTTTAACAAACCTCACGTATGTGTATAAGCACACTATAACTTCATCCGAATGTGTTCATAATGTTCGATTGAATTCATATAGATGTGTTGAGGTGCAAATCAAGTCCCGCATCGGTATGAGAAATCTCAATGTTTTATAAAGTGGAGATAACAACTCTATTGGTATATGACCTTTGGCGAAATCCAAGAGCATAACAAATTGAGCTCGACCGAGATTGGACAGTACCGTAATAGCGTGGAGTTTGTGTTTTTCATATATATTTATATTTAGAATATTGAATGTGTAATTAAGTGGGCGTGATGAGATGAATTGGATGGACGTGGACTAATACTTCAAAATATATGATAACACAACTTTAAAAGAATTAGGAATAATAGTGCTTGTAAATTAAATCAACCCAAGTTTTGTTTCATGTGGTAATATTTAAGTGTTTTGAGTAGTGAGTGGGTTAAGTGTGATTTTCAGTAAGTTATAATAGTAAATTAAAAAAGAATATCTGGATTATTTAATAATATAAGCACTAAATAAAAAAAATCCCCAGTAGCGCTCTGGTTGAAGTAAAAAAATAGAAAAGCGCGGGAGCACACCCAACCAGCCTGGATTCTTATCGCCATTTCCGTGTGTGACAAATTCGTGGTCAGCTTATCAATAATTCAATATGATTAATAACTTCTGCTGCTTATATATACCCCTTACATAATTTCGAAATTAAATTAAATTATTCTTACTCTCCACTCTCACTTATTCAAAAGTTAGCACACCTCAAAATTAATTCCCCACAGATATATACCTGATCGTCTGATTTGAAAAAAGCTTCATTTTTTCAATATAAATGGAGAATATCTCGAGCTATTATTATAGTACAGAGTACTCTGTTCCGCAACCGCAGGTGCTGCCTCAATCTGATCAGCAGTCCTCGTGCTTCACCTCGAAGAATCATTCCGACGAAGAAGTGAATCTAGCTTCCAACAACCCCAAGAAACGCGCCGGTAGGAAGAAGTTCCGCGAGACGCGCCACCCCGTGTACCGCGGCGTCCGCCTTCGGGACTCCGGGAAGTGGGTCTGCGAGGTCAGGGAGCCCAACAAGAAGACCCGGATCTGGCTCGGGACTTTCCCAACCGCCGAGATGGCGGCGCGCGCCCACGATGTGGCGGCGCTGGCTCTCAGGGGCCGGTCGGCCTGCCTCAACTTCGCCGACTCCTCGTGGAGGCTGCCTGTTCCGGCCTCCGCGGATGCCAAGGACATTCAGAAGACTGCCGCAGAGGCCGCGGAGGCTTTCCGTCCCCAGTCATCGTCGGATTCCGGAGGCGATGCGAGGGAGGAAACCGCCGTCGCCGCTAATAATTATACGGCGTCGCCGGAAAATATGTACTTTATGGATGAAGAGATGATGTTTGGGATGCACGGTTTGGTGGATAATATGGCGGAGGGGCTGATGATGATGCCTCCACCTCATCATCATCAGTACAGTGATGACGTGGGAATGGATGCTGACGTGTCGTTATGGAGTTATTCCTTTTAATTTTCTCTTTTTAGTATATGTGGTGGTAGTAGGTGCCAACTACCATGGATAATGTTCTTGTTTGGGTAATATTTGAACCCGTACTTGAATTGTTTTTTCTGGGTCATTTTTTAATTTAATTATTAATTAGATTCTATTTAGTGATAATCCATGTTGCCTTGATCACTAATTAATTATGACTAATTTATTTAGTATTTGTAGGTGTCATTTATTTATTTTTAAATAAACACGTAGCCACTAGGAATGCACCGGATAAACACCATTCAAATCTTTCATTAATAGCAAAAGGTCCAATCAATATTCCAGAGACAAATCAATATTCATTTCACCTTTTTTCTAATCTCAATTTTTTCTAATCTCACCAACCCTCATTAGGAGAGTTGGTACCTAGCCCTTACCAATAGGGTAACGGTCTAGGGTTCGAGTCCCCCCCCACCCCTATTTCCCCTTGTAATGGACTTGAATTTACTCAAAAAAAAAAAAAAAAAATTTTCTAATCTCAAAATTGTCGTTCCACTATCTTCTTCTTACTACTTTCATTCACTCCAACATCTACCACCTCTCCTCAAACACCGCCGCCACCACATCTCATCGATCAAACTGATGAAAAGATCAATTACCTTCCCAAAATAAACAGTACAGTCATACGCCGTTGTATTTCTTGTAATCAATTTCAGAAACAGTGGAAAAAAAATCCACCATTTTAGGTTTTTCGACCTCCACTGTAATATTTCATATTAGGATCTTGAATTTTTTGCCGCAATTCGAGAAACGAGGCGTCATATCTCTAGAAAAATGGTGTTTGAAAGCGAATTCAATAACATCCTGAAGACGATGCAACCGACATCTATGGGAGCCCTCGTCTAACTGTTTGTCCTGCAGTGGTCAACTAGCTCCTCCCCCTTCCTATACTGGAAAGAGAAGACAGAAGATAGAAACGGAAAAAATAGAAGAGATAACTAAAAAAATGAAGGTCGTTCGACTATATGCAATACTAATTTCAATTGTGAAAGACCAAATTAAAGATAGATCCCAAAAGATTTTAATTTATTAAGATGAAATGACAAATATACCCATAAATTAAATTGGCTTTTGTTTGCTCATGCGAGATCAAATAACAAATAATGAAAAATTAAAATTAAAAGAAAACGTAAAATAAAAAAAAATAAAAAAATAAAGAGAGAGAAAAAACCCACCCCCGTGTGAAACCCTTCCCGTCGCCACACCTGCGCCGCCCAAGGACCGCCTCCGCAAGCTCCTCGCCGACCGCCAGTCCCGCCGCTCATAACCATGAACGACCTAAATCCACCTAAAAAATGTTAATTCCTCATCTTGTTCAACCTTAAAAAAAAAAAAGAGGAAAAAAATTAAATTTGAAACTGGTAAAAATCGACACAAAGTGTCGAAAAACTATGCTAGAAGACATTCGACAAAAAACCCATAAAATTCGACATCAACAGTATGTCGAATTTGTTCGGTAAAAATCAACAATGAGATGTTGAGTTTATATCAGAAAAGTCGACATTGTGAAATGTCAAATTTGCTACTAAAAAATCGACATCTCTGTCGATTTTTGCCTATCAAACTTGACATGTACATGTCGACCGCGTCTGTGCGGGATTTTTTAGGAAAAACGATATTCTAGCTAAAAAAAATACATAAATGCATACCTTCTGGGGTTCTTCCACCGTAGAATCTTCTATTTTGATGTCTTCTGACTTCGTACTTGTCATCTTTGTAAGATTTGTTGAGTTTTGATAATTTTGAATGTTTAGGTTTTATCGGTCTATGGAGAAGGAAGGAGAAATGTTTTGTGGGTTTTGGAAGATGGAGAAGATAAGAGTTTTTGGTCTTGTAGTTTTGTGATAGGTGTTTTTGTGGTTTTGTGTTTTGGGTATTGCACATTTGGATTTTTCTACTTTTTTAACAAGCAAGGCTATTACAATATTTATACATTAAATTTTTTTAATTTGATCTTGCACAACTGAAATTAGTATTGCATATAGTCGCGGCAAAAAAATAAAATTAAGGTTCTGAAAGGGTCTGAAAGGGTACAATGGATAATTTAAATGTGAGTAGTAATTGTTTTTAAGGGAAAGCGGTTCTCTCGAATTAAAAAAAGAAAAGGGAAGTCGTCTTCTACACGAATTATCCAAATGAGAGGAGGTCTTACTAATTTATTTATTTTTGTAATGAAGGAACCCGCAACTAACCATATAGGTGCACTGGGTAAACATACACTCTCGTATAATAGCTTGCAAACCATACGAGAGAGGTAAACCACACACTAGTTTAACCATGTGTGACAAGCTCCACCTAGCGACCGTTGGCAAGAGAATTTGAACCTAGGTCAATTGAGAAAGGCTCACTTGCTTCAACCACTAGATCATCCTTTTGAGACGGTTTTACTAATTTTCTAATTATAATAGGTGACTAAGAAAACACTTGTCGTTATTTCACCATTTATTCTCGCGCAATAAATTAAGAGTAGTAATTGCCAAATTAAGAAATATATAAGTAAATAACTTTAATATATATATATATATATATATATATATATATATATATATATATATATTTCCAAAAACGACCAGATGATATGGAAAGAAGAGACAGAGACAAATATTTCCAAGTTTCTCTTAAAATAAACTATTTATTCTCAACTTTTACTTTCACAGTTCCTTTCGCATGGGGTCCACGCGCTTGCTTCCCGGCCAAAAACGGAAAAGAAAAAAAAAAAAACTAACGTTGGTAGTTAATAACTGTTAAAACCGTGTTGTGTCTGGTCAAAATTTATAACTATATTACGTCATCCGAAAAAGTGCTATTTTGTTTGTTTATGAGATTACCCATTTGCGTACTGCCCGGGTCTGATAAATAACAAGTGGGGTTATTTGTTATTTTAATATTATTTATTTGTTTGGGTTAATTTTAATTAGAAAGAAATAGAATTAGTGGGACCCAGAGTCCTAGAATATAGTTTTAGCTTGTAATAATACGAAACTTCACCTCCTAAACGCTGATTGATGCATAGGACACGTGGCGAACGGGCGTCCACTCCTTTTAGTGACTTGTACCTTAAACAAATGAGTCATTATTAAATTTGGAAAATGCTAGATCCAGGCGATATTTTGCACAACGAAGATATTTTTATAACATAAATAATTTAAGTTTGGTGTATTTATAGCTTAGTTGAGATTGTCGGGCCCAAACCTTGCTTGAAGGTGATTGGGCCTCGATGATAGTGATCTTCGATATTGGGCTCGTGGCCCAGTATGTGAGTAATTTGTAGGCCCATTGGGTTGACCCAATTATGCATATCAGTTTTCCTTTTTAGTATTTGGTTACAGCAGAACAGAGGGAAGGAGTGCCACCAAATCAAGTTTTGTTTCATGTGGTAAAAATTAAGTGTGGTGGTTAGTGAGTGTAACTTGCAATAAAGTAGTTAATTAAAGAAAAATATCTGGATTTAATATAAGCAGTAAATAAAAAATATCTCCAGTAGCGCTCTGGTTGAAGTAAAAAAAAAAAAATATAGAAAAGCGCGGGAGCACACCCAACCAGGCTGGCATCCTATCGCCATTCCCGTGTGTGACAAATTCGTGGTCAGCTTATCAATAATTCATAACTTCTGCTGCTTATATATATACCCCTTAATTACTTACACTTGTACATAATTAAATTAAATTAATTTATTCTTACTCTTCACTCTCACACTTATTCTTAGCTTTAATTTGTGCCCGCCCCCAAAAGTTAGATTAATTTCCCACAGATATATACCTGATCGATCACAGTGACTGATTTTCTGCTTTTAAAAAAAGCTTCATTTTTTTTTTTTTTTTTTTTTTTACATTAATGGAGAATTTATCGAGCTATTATTATAGTACAGAGTACTCTGTTCCGCAACCGCAGGTGCTGCCTCAATCTGATCAGCAGTACTCCACCAAGAATTATTCCGACGAAGAACTGAATTTAGCTTCCAACAACCCCAAGAAACGCGCCGGTAGGAAGAAGTTCCGCGAGACGCGCCACCCCGTTTACCGCGGCGTCCGCCTTCGGGACTCCGGGAAGTGGGTCTGCGAGGTCAGGGAGCCCAACAAGAAGACCCGGATCTGGCTCGGGACCTTCCCCACCGCCGAGATGGCGGCGCGCGCCCACGATGTGGCGGCGCTGGCTCTCAGAGGCCGGTCGGCCTGCCTCAACTTCGCCGATTCTTCGTGGAGGCTGCCCGTTCCGGCCTCCGCGGATGCCAAGGACATTCAGAAGACCGCCGCCGAGGCCGCCGAGGCTTTCCGTCCGTCGGATTCCGGCGGCGATGCGAGGGAGGAAACCGCCGCCGCTGATAATTATACGGCGTCGCCGGAAAATATGTACTTTATGGATGAAGAAATGATGTTTGGGATGAACGGCCTGGTGGATAATATGGCGGAGGGGCTGATGATGATGCCTCCACCTCATCATCAGTACACTGATGACGTGGAAATGGATGCTGACGTGTCGCTATGGAGTTACTCCTTTTAATTTATTAGTGGTAGTAGGTGCCAACTGCCAACTAGCGTGGATAATGTTCTTGTTTGGGTAATATTTGAACCCGTACTTGAATTGTTTTATTTGGTTCGTTTTTTTAATTAGATACTATTAAGTGATAATCCATCTTGCCTTGATCATTAATTAATTCTCACTAATTTATTTAGTATTTGTAGGTGTCATTTAATTATTTTTTAAATAGAAAGAGACCCAACCTTTATTCCAATATTTGAGATAAATCCATGTTCATTTCAAATTTTTTATAATCTTAAAATTTGTCGTTCCATTATCTTCTTCTCATTACGTGCATCCCCTCCAACATCGACCACCTCCCCTCTAACACCACCGCCACCACATTTCATCGATCAAACTGATGAAAAGATCAATTACCTTCCCAAAATATACAGTCATACGTCATTGTATTCCTTGTAGATCAAATTTAGAAACAGTGGAAAACAAATCAACCATACTAGGTTTTTCGGCCTCAGCTATGATATTTCTTGTCTAACTGTTCGTTCTGCAGTGGTCAACTAGCTCCTCCCCCTTCCTATAACGAAACTTTCTATTGGCATCGAGGCTATTGCCGAAGAAAAGAGGAAAAAAAATGAAGAAGAGAGAAGAAAGAAACGGAAAAAATAAAAGAGATAACTGAAAAATGAAGGCCGTGACTATATGTGATACTAATTTCAATCATGCAAGACCAAATTAAAGAAATATTCCAAAATATTCTATTTTATTAAGATGAAATGATAAATATACTCATAAGTTAAATAGGCTTTTATTTGCTCATGCAAGACCAAATAACAAATAATTAAAAACAAAAAATTAAAAGAAAACGTAAAATAAAAATAAATAAAAAATAAATAAAAATAACCCACCCCCGTGTGAAACCCTTCCCGACGCCACACCTGCGCCGCCCAAGCTTCGCCGCCGCAATCTCCTCGATGACCGCCGCCGCCAGTCCCGCCGCTGACAACCATGAGCGACCTAAATCCGCCTAAAAAATGCTAATTCCTCATTTTGTTTAACCTTAAAAAAAAAGAGGAAAAAAGTTAAATTTGAAACTGGTAAAAAATGACACAAAGGTGTCGAAAAACTATGCTAGAAATCGACACTTAAGCGTTGAAAAAAAGACCCAAAAAATTCGATATCAACAGTATGTCAAATTTGTTAGGTAAAAATCAACACTGAGATGTCGAGTTTATAGCAGAAAAATCGACATTGTGAAATATCGAATTTGCTACTACAAAACCGACATCTCAGTGTCGAGTTTTACCTATCAAATTCGACCAATACATGTCGAACGCGTCTGTGCGGGATTTAAAAAAAAAAACGATATTTTAGCTAAAAAACACATAAACGCATACCTTCTGGTGTTCTTCCACCATAGAATCTTCTATTTTGATGTTATCTGACTCCATACTTGCCATCTTTGTAAGATTTGCTGAGTTTTGATGATTTTGAATGTTTAGGTTTTGTGGGTTTATGGAGGAGGAAGGAGAAATGTTTTGTGTTTTGGAAGATGGGGAAGATAAGAGTTGGTCTTGTGGTTTTGTGATAAGAGTTTTTGGTATTGCACATTTGGATTTTCTATTTTTTCTAACAAGCAAGGTTATTATAGTATTTATACATTGAAAAAATTTAATTTGATCTTGCACAATTGAAAGGGATGTGATAAATGTCGTTCGAGCTTTAATAATACTGTTTCGACTTCAAACATGATTTTGATCATTTTTTATTCCTAATTTTGCAAAACCCGAAAAATAGAATATGTAGTTTTTCGAGTTAGTTTTCTAATCCAACTTGAATTACCAATGTTGGATGTCGGACGAGAAAGATATACATGAATCAAGTGATACTGCCCGCAACTTTGATGTATTGAGGTATCTAAAATCAGAATGTGACTCATTCATGCATAACTTTGTCACACGGCATCCAATCTAGCGGATTTAAATTGGATTAGAAAGATAACCCAAAGAACAGTTTTCGTGTTTCGAATTTTGCCAAAATTAAAATAAAAATATGTCAAAATCAGGTTCGAAGTCAAAACTGTATTAGTAAAATTGAAATGACATTTAACATTTCAGCAATTGAAATTAGTATTGCATATAGCCGCTGCAAGAAATGAAACTAAGGTTCCGAGAGGGTCCAATGGATAATTTAAATTTGAGTAGTAATTGTTTTAAAGGGAAAGCAGTTCTCTCGAATTAAAAAAAAAAAAAAAAAAAAAAAAAAAACGGGGTCGTCTCCTACATGAATTATCCAAATGTGAGGAGGTCTTACTAATTTTTTTTTTTTGTAATGGAGGAACCCGTAACTAACCATATAAATGCACTGGGTAAACCTACACTCTCATATAATATTTTGCAAATCATACGAAATAGATAAACCACACTAGGCTAACCATGTGTGACAAGCTCCACCTAGCGACCGTTGACAAGAGAATTTAAACCTAGATCAATTGGTAAAGGTTCACTTGGTCCAACCACTAGGTTATTCCTTCCGGGACGATCTTACTAATTTTCCCTTTATAATAAGTGACTAAGAAAACACTTGTCATTATTTCACCATTTATTCTCACTCAATAAATTCATAGTAGTAATTGCAAAATTAAGAAATACATAATAAATAACTTTAAAAAAAATATATATATATTTTTTCAAAAACGACCACATGATATGGAAAGAAGGGACATAGACAAATATTTATTAAACTGTCTCTATCACTTTTTATTATCACCAATTAGGGACTATTAGCCAAGTTGCTCTTAAAATAAACTATTTATTCTCAACTTTTACTTTCACAATTCCTTTCGAATGTGTTCCACGCGCTTGCTTCCCGGCCAAAAACGGAAAAAAGGAAAAAACTAACGTTGGTAGTTAATAACTGTCAAAACTGTGTGTCTGGTCAATTTATAATTATATGACGTCATCCAAAAAGTGCTATTTTGTTTGTTTATGAGATTACCCATTTGCGTACTGCCCGGGGCTGATAAATCACAAGTGGGTTATTTATTTTAATATTATTTATTTGTCTGGGTTTTTTTTTTTTTTTTTTTGATAATTTATATTTGTCTGGGTTAAGGCCATCTCCAACAGCTTGTTTAAAAATGGTTGTCTATATCTATAATTTAGCATATCAACAGTGTTATACAATACCACTTTTAACATCACACTCCAACAACATTGTTTATATTTTACACAATTATTATATTTTATTATTTTTCAAAAATTAATTTTTAATTAATTTCAAAAAAATTATTTCAAGGACCATAGTCCAACAACTATATTATAAAAATCATTTAAAAAAATATTAAAAATAATAATAATAACTAATATTTTTTAATATTATTAATAAAGAAGTATTATAAATAATTATTTTGTCAATATACTTTCAAATTAGGATAATTTAATTAATTAAAAAAATTACTTGGAGTTGAACTACCATATTTTGTGGTTGAATGGGATTTAGTATGATTATTTTATTATTTTAAATGTTTAAACAATTTGTTAAAAATTAACTTTGGTTGTCCAAATTTGAGAAACCAAAGTTATATTTTTACATATTCTAAGTTTTTGCATTTTGTTGTTGGAGATGTGATTTTTGATTGAAATTGTGTAAAATATGTAAATTATAGGTTTGCATCACCTTGTTGGAGTTGCTCTAATTAATTAGAAAGCAATAGAATTAGTGGGACCCAGAGTCCTAGAATATAATTTTAGCTTTTTGTAATAATACGAAACTTCACACTTTGTGCCTTCTAAACACTGATTGATGCATAGGACACGTGGCGAACGGGCGTCCACTCCTTTTAGTGTCTTGTACCTTAAACAAATGAGTCATTATTAAATTTGAAAAATGCTAGATCCAGGCGATATTTTGCGCAATGAAGATATTTTTATAACAAAAGTAATTATGTATGAAAAATTAGCTGAAGACCCCTAAAGGCTAAAAGAATATTCTCTATAGATTCAAAACCGAGTCTTGTTTCAGATCCGACCCCAGATTTCGAGTCTCTCTAATGAAATTGTTTTTGAAAGACGATTAATAATGGTGACGATAATTTGCACAACTTAATTATACTAATAAATAACAACTTATTTTAAATAAAATCAACAGTAACTATAACGATGATTTGCACAACTTAATTAAAATACACTGAAGAAAAAACTAAAACTAAGAATTGATCGAGGCATCCCACGACACTTACGCAACATATACAAACATCTTAGAAAACTTATTTACAGAGCTTAATAAATGAGCAAAAAAATATGTATTTCATGTAATTTTACTTTGAAGTTTGACTTAATTAGATAGGTTAAAAAACTTATTTGCATAGTTAGTTACATAACTTGTTTAAAATAAACTGAAGAAAAAAAATTAAATCTCTGGTGCATGCATCACCACCAAAATTACCATCAAATTTTCATATTTTTTTTCCCATGAATATTTGGTTCCAGCAGAAGAGAGGGGGAAGGAGTGCCACCACATCAAGTTTTGTTTCATGTGGTGGTTAGTGAGTGTAACTTGCAATAAAGTAGTGAATTAAAAAAGAATATCTGGATTATTTAGTATAAGCACTAATTAAAAATATACCCAATAGCGCTCTGGTTGAAGTAAAAAAAAAAAAATAGAAAAGCGCGGGAGCACACCCAATCAAGCCAGCCTGGATTCCTATCGCCATTCCCGTGTGTGACAAATTCGTGGTCAGCTTATCAATAATTCATTATACCTGTAATTAAAATAACTTCTGCTGCTTATATATACCCCTTGCTTACATTAAATTAAATTAATTTATTCTTACTCTCCCACTCTCACTTATTCTTAGCTTTAATTTGTGCCCCAAAAGTTAGCACACCTCACAATTAATTTCCCACATAGATATATCTGATCACAGTGACTGATTTTCTCATTTAAAAAAGCTTCATTTTTTTTTTTACATTAATGGAGAATATCTCGAGCTATTATTATAGTACAGAGTACTCTGTTCCGCAACCGCAGGTGCTGCCTCAATCTGATCAGCAGTCCTCGTGCTTCACCTCGAAGAATCATTCCGACGAAGAAGTGAATTTAGCTTCCAACAACCCCAAGAAACGCGCCGGCAGGAAGAAGTTCCGTGAGACTCGCCACCCCGTGTACCGCGGCGTGCGTCTCCGGGACTCCGGTAAGTGGGTCTGCGAGGTTAGGGAGCCCAACAAGAAGACTCGGATCTGGCTCGGGACTTTCCCCACCGCCGAGATGGCGGCGCGCGCCCATGACGTGGCGGCGCTGGCTCTCAGAGGCCGGTCGGCCTGCCTCAACTTCGCCGACTCCTCGTGGAGGCTGCCTGTTCCGGCCTCCGCGGATGCCAAGGACATTCAGAAGACTGCCGCGGAGGCCGCGGAGGCTTTCCGTCCCCAGTCATCGTCGGATTCCGGAGGCGATGCGAGGGAGGAAACCGCCGTCGCCGCTAATAATTATACGGCGTCGCCGGAAAATATGTACTTTATGGATGAAGAGATGATGTTTGGGATGCACGGTTTGGTGGATAATATGGCGGAGGGGCTGATGATGATGCCTCCACGTCATCATCAGTACACTGATGATGACGTGGAAATGGATGCTGACGTGTCGTTATGGAGTTATTCTATTTGAACCCGTACTTGAATTATTTTGTTTGCATCATTTTTGTAATGAATTAAATATTAAATGATATTTAGATTCTATTGAGTGATAATCCATCTTGTCTTGATCATTAATTAATTCTGATTAATTTATTTAGTAATTTGTAGGTGTCAATTATTCTTTTTTAATAAACACAAAATGCACTGAATAAACTCGATTCTCCTACAATCATTCACAAATAACACTGAGAAATAATTTTAACATAAAAAAAAAAAAAGTTTCTTGATAGGCCCACAATTGCCCTAATTCCTAATCATTGATCTTAACGAAACGTGGAAAATAGATCGACGGGTCCGTATTCGACGGAACCGAAGCTACTTTGTCTTCTTGACGAGAATCGACGTTCTGAATTCGCTGTCGTCGCGTGCAAAACTCCACCATAGGTAGGTCAAAGGAATCATAATTGCATGACCGAGTGCACGAGAATCAACCAGTTCCCAATACGGGGCAAAATCGTAAATCTCCAAGAGTACTGCTAAACCTCCACCGAGTACAACCACCCACAGCTTCCAACGCGCGGGGTGACGACTCACACCTCCCCAAACTGCCCACACCACAATCTGCACTACACTCATCGCCACACTAACTTTCATATTCCATCCTGTGAAAGAATATAATATTATATAAAACTCGGAATGTAATATTTTTTCCCAAATATACACGTAAAATTTCTCAACGGGCCGACAATATTACACTACTCGGAAAATAACAAATTTCTATATAAAATAATACTGAATAATAATAGGGTTTTAATGTGCTTACCATAGTCGAGCTCGTAGAAGTTCAAGTACAAGATATGGGTTGCGACAAAAGCAAATATGGGAGCTAAAACCATAACCCTAGCAGCCTCGATTCTCACATTGAAAGCTCGTATTATAGCTAGAAATATGGAATATCCCTTTAATGCCACGTCAGACGATATATCCACCTTCTCCGTCAACTCAACATCTCTGCATAATACAAAAAATCCCAACACTTAAAAATCTACAAAATTAAAACGGAAAGGAGGGAGTATATAATTGTAACTGCAATTGCAAATTATGACGAAAAACACTGATGTTAAATATATCTCACCGTGTGTGGAAAACTGCAGTCCAAAACCAAGCATTCATTGCAAAGACGGCGTACAAATGCCACAGCCCAGTGTACTCGTAATACGTCTGTTTGTTCGGTCTAAACGGCAGTTTATAGTTCACAAGAATGAAAAACGACACCCATCCATGAAACTGCACCGCAAGATTAACAGCAGAGAGAGCCACAGAAACCGGTTCCTAGAAAAAATCAACTCCATTATATATATACATATATATGTATGTATGTATATATCAGAAGAAATAAAAGAAACCGTGAAGTTTTGTTATACCTGAATCCCGTATATGCGTTTGAACGGCCATTTCCCGTGATATTTCTCAGGCTCGTGGCCGATTTTCTGTCTTTCTTCTTCTCTGGATAACATGCAGTGATAACGGCAGTCACTAAGGCAACCCCATTGCTTCCACTGTACGTAGAGCGGTTCTTGTAGATACCATGGCCCGTTTGTGGAATCTCCGCTTGAGGAAAAATTGCAGTGTTTAAAACATTTGCTCCCCACACATCCCGTTTTCTCGCATTGCTTTAAGCAAGACCTAGCAGCACCGTTGAATATCCGTGATATAAATCAATTTCAAGTAAATATTCCCAAAATTAATGGTTCCGATTTTCGACGTAATAAGGTTCGTTGATGAAGGTTTCGAAGGTGTGAAATAAACAGCAAACTGCTAGATATAATTTGCCTAGCTAACTTATAACGAAAAAAGAGAAAAAAAAAGGCGAAGCAATAGGAAGGTTTCGACTTTCTGCGATAACCGTATCTTTACTTTGACGATCGAAAGTTCACCTGAAACTCGTTAATGGAAACTCCTATACAGACACAAGTTTCATTTATTTAACATTTATTATTGAACTGGCTAGGTATCGATTTGGCAACAGCCATCATTTTATTTTATTTTATTATCCCCATAACCTCAAAATCTTGTATCTAAAACTAAATTCATAGCTTTAATTCTTAATAAGCCCTAATTAATAATCATCAATTATGTAATCAGTATGTACCACTATTTGTGGGAGAATAACAATTGGCAACACACACACACACGCACAAAGTTTGGGCATTACTGAAATTAATTGCAGACACTAAAAATTACAATCTAAGCTCAAACAATCCAAACAAGCAAATCATCAAACACCTGCCGTGCATTATCACTCTGCAATTATCAGGAATTCAAAAGGACACAAATTAACACTACTAAAAGCGATTATCAGCTTAAAAGCAGAGCCGGAAAGCTTACTGGTAAAGGGGATCAGCATCACCGGGGCTGCCATGGAGCAACACGAAAAGGGAAGAGAGTGCAACCAGAAAAATTAGGAAAAAACTTCGACCCATCATCAGATTCAAGTTGAAAAGTCAAAAGGGACGGTGGGTTCTTCAAAGATTTAATTTTTATCAATTTCTTGATTTTGATCGGTCAACTTCCCAATAAATTGGAACAATTGTCCGACTATTGGACTTTATTATATGTAAAGGTTGAGGATAATGATTGTGTAAATTGTGTTTCTCTTTTCTTGGATTTTTAGGGTGCGTGGTGAGATACATCTTTGTCTAGTGGTCGTGGAGGCGACGAACACAGATTATAATTAATTATAATCATTTTTTATTTATTAGTATTATTATTAGGGTAATTATAACCACCCCTGAGGTATGGTCAAATTACGAAAACTCCCATCTTGTTTGGATAATTACAATCCCCTCCTCAACTCATCAAATTTAGTGGAATCTTCGAGATTATATGGAATATTATCACTTTTGTACCCATTTTATCTTATTCGAACTCTACATTTTGAAGCAAGATGATCGTAATATGTGTTTTTTGGCTTGTATATATCAGATTGTGGTGCATCAGAAACTGTATTTTTACACAAAACGAGTATAAAATAGAACACATTTCACATAATCTAGATGATTATGTTGAATTTGACACCATACGGATGGAGGTGTAAGAAAAAATCATAGTTCAGGGGGTAAATGTAATTATCCAAACAAGAGGGGTTTTCTCGTAAATTGACCATACCTCAGGGGTGTTTGTAATTTACCATTATTATTATTATTATTATTATTATTATTATTATTATTATTATTATTATTATTATTATTATTATATATTATTATAATATATTATTATTATTATTATGTGTGTGTGTGTGTGCGCCTTACTTACATTTCGTGATTTTCAACGACATTAGGAAAATTTGGAGATTCGTCACTCGTTTTGTCCGAATCGAGAAGAAAAGCATCGAAATTTGGTTTTCTTTGTGGCTTTCACATTTCCTATTCCCGGATGTAGTTTTCGTAAGAAAATGTATGTTATTGCTTTTTCAAAGACTATGGTTGGGTTTTTTTTCGTTGATAATGAATTCATCTCGGTTTCTTTCTTCCAGGAAATTCTCATGGACTGACACGTACTAGCATATTTTTCTTCCCGTAATGGCGAATTCGATGGCTTTGACTTCAATTGGCCTTCTCAGATTCGGCGTAGTTACCAAGAAAAGCAATCGCCACCTAACTTATACTTCAAGATCCTCATCGAGATTCTCTAGGGTTCGAGCTGTGCAGGAAAGCGAAGGGCCTCGAAGATTAGTTGATATATTACGAATCATACCCGATGTATCGCGAAATTACTTCAAACGCCCTTCGAGAAGGGCACTTTTTGGAGGTATTTCCCTATTGGGCGGCTTCTATGTCGCCCAGACAATCTCTCTGTCTTTTGGGGCGTTGGGTGTGAACGATGTGATTGCTGCAGTGTTGTGTGTTTTGATCACGGAATATGTGACGAGGTTTTATTACAGCAGACCGAAGGTCACTTTTCCTATTGCACTTTTAAACAATTTCAAGATGGGTTTTACTTATGGTCTCTTCATTGATGCTTTCAAACTGGCCAGTTGATATATCTTTTTTTTTTTTAATTTATTGTCGTCCTGAAATTTGTGTTCGTAAAGGGCTTGCTTATATATGGAACGATTGTGATAATTCTTTTTCGTGTCGGAACTTTAATTGATATGTTCCGTATGTATTCCAAGATCACTATAATTTCTTATAGCGTCCGTAATTATAGGATATTCATGATGTAATTTACAGTTTTCGTACCTATGTCCTATCTCTACACATTTTTTTTTCTTGATCGGCAATAAACTTAACCAAACTGCAATAATCGAGCTCTCCAACGAATTTTATTCTTCTCGAAAACTTACCATATTTTCCGAAAGTCTAGATATTTCTTGATTTGTTTCTATACAGCTCCAACCTAATGGCTTCTTCACATCACCAATATCCATCAATTCCCTCATTTTCATAGCCTCGTCCCATCTCTCTGCACTTGCGTACGAGTTCGAAGACAGCACATAATTCCCACCATTGGTCGGATCCAACTCAATAACCTTGTCCGAAGCAATCTTGGCTAAAACCAGATTACCATGAAGATTACAAGCACTGAGAAATTTCCTCCACACCACAATATCCGGAAACATGGGCATATTCTTCATGAACTCATATGCCCTGTGAAGATTTCCAGCCCGGCAAAAAAGATCCACCATACACCCATAGTGCCTAATTTCCGGCACCAATCCATAATTTTTTTCCATACTGCAGAAAAATTCGACTCCTTCATCCACCAAACCCGAATGAACACAAGCCAATAATATCCCAACAAAAGTTCCATGTACGGGCTTTATACCTTCTCTTAACATTCTAGAGAAGAGCTCAAGAGCAAGCTCAGAATCACCGTTCACTGCAAGACCAGATATGACTGAAGTCCATGACACCGGGTCCCTTTCTTTCATTTCATTGAACACCTTCCGTGCGTTCTCAACGGATCCGCATTTGCAGTACATGTCTATCAGAGCATTCTCCACATAAATATCCGATTTTACACCGTTACTGCTTACGTAATCGTGGAGCGATTTACCCACATCGAGTCTTCCTAAATGTGCACAAGCAGAGAGCACAGTAGCTACCGTGATTTGATCGGGCTTGACCTTGGCCACCATCATCCTCTGGAAGAGCCTAATGGCATCGTCGTGCAGGTTAGCTTGAGCGTACGCGTGGATCATAGAAGTCCATGAAATAACATCTCTCTCGGGCATTTCGTCAAAAAGTTTCTTGGCTGCAACTAAATCCCCTGATTTTGCAGCTCCCATAATCATCATATTCCAAGAAACAACGTTTCTCTTAGTCATCCTATCAAAAAGACCACGAGCCGATGCGAAGGAGCCACACCTCACGTGCGCGTCAATCAATGTATTGCCTAAGTACATATCAATTTCAACACAGTTATACTCAATATACTCGACAATAGAATCCACAAGATTCAATCTACCTAAATAGTTACATGCTAAGACAACTTTCACCATAGTCACAGAATCAGCCTTCACATTTTCAACTTTCATCGCGTCAAAAAGACCCAACACCTCCTCATACTTTGCACATTGACTATACGCACAGATCAACGAGTTCCAAGAAACCAAATCCCTTTCAGACATTTCATCGAACACCCTTCTTGCAAAACCCAATTCACCACAAAACCCATACATATAAATCAGAGCATTGCACAGATAAAGATACGATCCGAAACCAAGTTTAAGAACGTGGGCATGAACTCTTTTCCCGCACGAAACATCCGAGGCTCTGGCACAAGCTTTGCTCACGAATATAAAAGTGAGGTTATCGCCACGCAATCCTAGCTCACGCATTTTATCAAACAGGACGAGTGCATCAACTGGGCTATCACTTTGACAGAGCCCGCGAATCATGTGATTGAAAATGGGCAGTGTAGGGTTGTCTACTGCGAAGAAAGCCGAACGGGCTTTGTTCATAGACGTTTGGGAGAGAGCGTAAGATTTGATCACTTGTGACATGGGTATCGGGTTTCTGTGCTGATTCGTTCTGATCAAGTGTCCGTGGAGCTCTCCGATCGGGTCATGGGGGATCCGGAATTCGGAAAACGGGTCGGGTTTTGCTGCCTTCGAGGTGGTGGTGAAGCGGCGAGCCAGTTTCATGAGCAAAGTCGAGATAGGTGACAGAGTGATACTGTGTGTTGTACATGTATGCATCCCTGGTTGTACCTTTCCAAATCTAAATCGTTCTACTTTACATTTTCCTAAGCCTTTGCAAAATCCTGCAAATTCGGTTGTAAATAGTTGATTTAAAAGTTGCAACTTTTGCAACTAAACTTTAAATTTCGAATTATTTTTGTAAAATACATTAAATATCATATAAATTGGTTTTAGATAAAAATAATAACGGCACAATTGTCTAGTACAATTTTTCATTATTTATCAAAGGCTTAATCCCATTTTCCACCCTGGAAATGGAACATTTTGGCATTTTGCACATTTGAAGAAAATTATTAGCACTTTACATCCTCAAAACACAATAAATCATTCGTAATGCACCATGAATTGAATATTTAAAACTTATTAAAGGTCATTTCATTAATTAAAGGTTTTTTTTTTCAGGGTGCAAAAATAAAAAAATAAATTGTTATTTGTTTCAACCTCCAACCTAATTCGAGCTTACACAGTGCGAAAAAAAATAAAAATCACACCGAAATACTAAAAAAAATTATATTATTCTTACGTGCTAAAATAAAATAGACTTTGATCACTAAATTATCTAATTGATGGATATTTTATTGTAATTGGTGAAAGTATTTAGTTGAAATCTAAGAAAATGTGATTTTCAAATAACTTGATAAGAAAATAGCTAAAGTATTTTTTTGTTTCGTAAAATATTTTTCTGGGATAAAAAAATATAATTTTAATATGTTGAAGGAATGTATTTTTATTTGGGGTAAAATTCATTTTGCACCCCTGTACTATGATAAATATATCGTTTACCCCCCTAAAGTATTGAAAACATCAAATACCCCCCTGCCGTTAGTTTTTTTCTTCTAATTTCGTTAGTCAAACCCTTTGACCGACTATTGCAAAGAAATGTTGGCTTTTTTTTAACGAAAATACCCCAAAAAATTTCTATATATAGATTTCAGGGCTTTTAGTTTTCATTTTTTGTGGGTTTTGTGCCGTTAGTTTTCCGATATATAGAAATTTTTTGGGGTATTTTCATTAAAAAAAAAGCCAACATTTCTTTGCAATAGTCGGTCAAAGTGTTTGACTAACGGAATTAGAAGAAAAAAACTAACGGCAGGGGGGTGTTTGATGTTTTCAATACTTCAGGGGGTAAACGATACATTTATCATAGTACAGGGGTGCAAAATGAATTTTACCCTTTTTATTTTTACACTTTATAGTTTTGAAAGAATTTATGAATAATTTTTTTAAATCATATTTAACATTTGACATCCTGAAAAAATACCATTAAAAATATTAGTAACATTTAATAGTTTTAAAAATTCATTCGGATTGCATTATGCCGTATGCGTGATTTTTTTTTTTCGAGGGTGCAAATTGTTTCCAAGAATGTAAAGTGCCAAAATGTTCTATTTCGCAAAGTGGGATTAAGCTAAACCAATTTATTTCAAAAGAAGCTAAAAAGCAAAAACAAAAAAGATGTGTTTGCAAACACTTAAACACAAATTATGAATTGAAATAAAAATTTCATAATCCATACATGTTCAAAAGCTTTTGCAAAACACTACAAAAATGAGATAATTATTAATCAAATATCATTAATTACAATAAAGAATAAAACATTAATATTCGCATCAACACACACACACACACACACACACACACACACATATATATATATATATATATATATATATATATATATATATATATATATATATATATATATATATATATATATATATATA